GATAGATGCAAACTCTTCGCATCAGACACGAACCTTCTTCAAAACGCGAATTCTTGATTTCCTCGGGAGGCGGTCAGGACGATCGTAATTTGCCGCGCCATCTATGTTGCGAGCAGCGATTGGTCGCCATCTATGACCTTTGAACATCGCCATTCGCGTCGCACGCGACATCCGCCGAATTACGATTGTCTTGCCACGTAACCGATTTCCCCCGTTTCGCTCGCGCCATATTTCTCCCTAGATGGCTGCTCAGCGAAATTACTATTTCTGATAGTTGACAGGGAACGACTCCCACCCCTCGCCCCCCACCCCGCCGCCCCACACCCTGCTCAACGACATGTTATTAGGACAGTTTGTACGATCTGGCGGTTAGGAAGGGGTCGAAAGTTCAGAGAGTAAATTTGTGAGGGGGGGGGGTCTTATTCAACGAAAAAAATTCTCCCCAACGCCAGGACATGCCCTGACTAAACGGCGTCGTAAGTGGTGGAAGTTCAGTGTATCACGGCAAATCTTACCGCTTGTGCTGTTCGTCAGCTCTGCTTGTATGCGGCGATCTCATATAGTCCTGTTCGTTGTCGATGAAAGGAGGGAGGGAAGGTGTCAGGCGGGACGCATTTGGCGCGGCGCCATACCTACCTCGCTTACCCGCTCCATCAACTAGTGGGGAGTGAATTTGGTGTCCCGCCAAACACTTCACGCCTGACACGCCCCTTCATCTGCAGCGAGCAAGACCATAATAACGTAATATCACAAGTAACAGGCACAAAGTTTAAACGTCAGAAATTTTCACGAAGCACCTTACCTCAATCTTGAAGTGCTTTTGCAACTCCCAGATAATAACTTGTGAGTCGGCAATTTGTTTGCCATTGAGCTCGATAAATGGTAATAAGCCGCGTGTTGAACGCTGTCGATACGATCCTATAACCTAAAGCAGAATCAAACAGCGTTGATAAGATAGGTACACACATTTTTGGACTATTCCGAGGGAATTGTATGAGTTCATTCTCGACAGGAGGTTGATGAGTAGGCAAAACGCATCGTCGCAGTACTAAAATGTCCACTGCTTCTTTAAGTCGCCGAGAAGAGAGGGGGTCGCACTTGATCTGAGAAAATTTTTTTGATAGTTGGTTTTTCTTGTTTCACGGACCCTATAAGGGGGAGGTGGTCGTTTGCTGGAGGAGATTGGCGGTGGTCGTATTTCCCTAAGCAGGTCACGTTCACTATGTGGCTTACCTCCCCACCCCCCCCCCCCCCCGCCATCGCCCGCCCCCGCCCCCGCCCCCCCCCCCGCTCGACAGCTCGATCGTATCGAGGAGGGGAACTAGTAGGGAGGGGAGGACAAATCAATTTCACCTTTCTAAATGGTTGCAAGGGATCTCTTACCAAATCGCCAAACTAATAATGTGCTTCATGCGTTGGAAAACACCCGACTGCTTCTCTTTTCGCTTCAAGTCCGTGATCTGACATTTTTTTGCCACATCGAGGACAAAAAAAAATTAAGAAGGCTCACCTCATACTTTATGTCGTTTACACGTAGAAATGTCTCGACTTTGAGACAGAACGGCGACAAATTCGGCATCACTGGCGATCGAGGGAACTGATAGAGATAAACCGTGTCAGGCTTCCAGTTATTGTTTATCAATGGTGCACTGCTATAGAACCTGAAGTGCTAATAAATAAAAATCATCAAGGATAAGCAGAAATCAAATAAGAAATGAAAAATGGCCAATCTTTGGTTCCAAAGAATACCTTATGGCGTCTACCGGCGATTTGGAGACAGCCAGCCGTACCGAACCTTGAGTGCCAAGCAGCCCCATTACTAGCCGCATTTTCAGGCTGCAACATATTTGTTTAGTCATAATCGCTGTCAACGATACGGCGTGTAACGGGGGATGGGTGGGGAGGGGGGGGGTGGCTCGGAGCGCAGCCAGGCAGCTTTCTCCACCAGCTGTAGCGGGCTCAGGACGTCATCATTGGTGGAAAAAGACCATCTGACTGTGTGCATAGCCACGCCCACCACAGGCCCTATCCTTTGCAGGGATCATGACTATACACTCCATGTCCACCAGTTGGTAGGGGTGTGGCTACGTAATTCATGAGACGCTAACGTGGGATGAGGTTTTTGTGGTGTCCTTTTGAGACAACAGCCACCTTGCCCTGTGCTCGACAAGGAAACAGGTGAAGTTGTTTCAAGACGGCAATATCCCACAGTGCGGCCGCAGCCATGCTCAGCCGAAGTACGCAGCCACACCCTCTCCATTTCCCGGGATATGGGGTGCACCTCAGGGTAAATTGTGTCGGCAGTAAACATATGGCAATATTGGGACAGTACCCAAATAGACAAAAAAGCCTCTATATAATCTATTATTCAAGAAGAAGATATATTACTCTCGTATCAGTCATGAGGTAATCTAACAAATGATTGCTCAACAAATACAATGTACAACAAATTAAACTAGTTTCTAGAAAGCTTATAAAAAATCTATTGGAGCGAATGGGCCTTCTTGTATTCCTCATATCGCTGTTTCTGCTCTTGGTATTCTTGCATGTTCTGCTGCTGCTGAATCGACTTCAAGCGGGATTTAACTCCTTCCTGACGTCGTTCACGTTGACGCCTTTCATCCCACAGGACAAAAGCTGAAACCATTTCGTAAACCATGATTCAAAAACGGTTCCGTTGAACATAGGTCAAACGACGAAACAGGGGCTTCCCTCTGTTCCTTACAGAGTCTAAGGCAGAGTTCAGATTTCGCGATCGCGCGCTATAACTGCAACAGCGCTCCAGTCTTAGATCGATCAGTTATAGACGTGATAGCAGCCTCAATCTATCAGCGCTGGACCGCTTCTGTCTTGAGAGAGTTCGGTTAACAGGAGGGCAGGCACTGCCTTTACGCAATGTGGTACTTTCCCATTCTTTCAAAGCCCCAGCGGCCAGCACTGATTGATACCAGACTGCATGATCCGCTTAATTCCCGCTCACGTTCATAGGATTGGAGCGCTGTTGCAACTGTAGCTCGTCGACGCGCGTTATGGTGAGTCGTCGCGTGTCATCGCGAGGTCCGAAACAGGGTACAGCATCGTTGTGAGAAACACGTGTGGTCGTGCTCTTTTGAGCTGAGGACGAGGGGGGGGGTCGTATTTGTCGCTTGTTGGAGAGGGGCTCGTGATGTGGGCTTTGAGAGGTATTTGCTGCATTGGGAAAAATTTTCTCTCGGTTGCTTTTCGTGATTTTTCCTGGTTCATGTGTACTCTTCCTCTCCCCGCTCGTCGACAGCAAAATTTTCGGGGAAAAGTAGCAAAAATTTTCGGGAAAAGTGACTCCCCCCGCTCATGACGGAAAATTTCTGGGTGCAAAAGTGGAAATGGGGGAAATGGGTAGGTAGACAGCTATTGGGGAAGGGAGGGGATGGTTGTACTGACACCTTCACTTCACAATGCTGTACCCTGGGCCCGAACGCTGCCTTACAGTGCGCAATGGGTGCATAACAAATCTCCCGCTCAGGTCATACAGGCTTTATGGGTCTCGCTGCGCGAAATTATCGGTGCAGTTTGTCGAGTACTACTACAATTTTTGATGAGAAAACTGTAAAGGATCTAACCAGCGTCGAAAGTATAGCCTTTCCAGACGCTCGCGTGAGGGATGTTTTGAAACTTGTGAATAATACATTCAGAAATTTGTTCGTCAAATAACATCCGTTGAAATGTGATGATTGGGAAATTCAGTTAAAAGGACGCTAAAGAATCAGATAAATTGAATTCGCTGCAGAAGCATTTTGCTCCAGTGTAGCGTCAGCTCGAGCCGTTGGGGGGACTTAAGAGCACACACAAGCGGAGAAGTGAGCTGTGGTTCGAGGCAGCGCCATAAAGGGTTCAACGCCCGCGGAACGCAAATTGGATGCACTGGACTACGCGCCCGTGGTTATTGGCATAGTTCAGCACAACCAAGTTGCTGTGACCGCAACTAAAGAGGCGTTGCAAATGAAATCACGTGCGCGACATTCACACCAGGACCTAAATGATTCAGCATAGCAATACAATATCAACTACCCAATTAAAATTCCACCACCCTGAGTTCCTTGGCGCGACCCAAGTACCATGTACACCCGCGCGTCCAGAAATTATGGTAGCACCGGCCAAAAATCGATCATTAAATAGGGTAGCCACACCGCAACGTTGCGCGACTTGAACAGCTTACATACAAATTACAAACATAATCCCAACATACCTATCGTGACTGTCGAAAAAATACAGGAGCCGACTAGCACGCGAAATCCATACCGCTTCTTGGCGCAGTGTACATATGACTGTGGCTCACAGTACTCAACCCTTGTATGAGATCTAAAGATCCTAACTCTTGTTGAAATGAGAATAATGGTATGAACTAGCCGGAAAAGCGCTTTGGAAATCTTGCAACAGGGGACATATCGCTGGACATCAAGGGGTTCGTAGCTGGCTGCTGAAAGCGATCAGACTTCACGATGACGCGCTGTAACGCACGTCGACGCGCTACCATTGCAACAGTGCTTCAATCCTACGGACCGAATGCAGCCGCAGGCATAAATCGATTCCGCCGGCCGTTTGTGCTTTGTGAGAGCATAGGATAACAGCACAGCAAGCGTTGCCTTCACACAGTCTGGTACTCTCCCATTCTTCCATACTCTCCCAAAGTCCTAGTGGCCAGTGCTGATCGATACAGACTGCTCAATCAGGCAGCGCGTACCCTCCTATTCCTCCACACTCTCCCAATACACAGGCGGCCCGTCAATCGATTCCTATCCGCGGCTGCGTTCGCGTCTATAGCCTTGGAGCGCTGTTGCAGCAGTAGCGCGCTACAACGCATTATAGCACGTCGCGCGTCATCGCGAAGTGTGAACCCTGACTTAATAGACAGCCGATTGGGAGATTCACGTTGCTGGGGCGGGCACAATTTAGCAAATATTTTACAGCTAGATCACACAAGATACTATATCATTTCCACGCCAGACTAATTAGATCCCGGTGCGACAGCCCTGCACGCGTTGCAATTGTTCGTCACCCGCGTCGCCGCAATGTGGACCTCCCAACCGGCTTATCCAACGTGTCGCGGACATAAAAATTTAGAAAAATTAATTACCACTGAACAATAGATGGACTC